TATAGGAATACAATGCGAGTATAGAGTTCTACTGGGCACCGTTTATCATCGAATCGAACACAGATTTGCCTGTGATTTTGGATATGAAGAAAAGGATAGTGAAAGTGGATTCAGTGGAAGATCGAGCTAAGTTTTGGGAAGGAGCTGATATTTTGGTTTTCAACACTTACGTTTGGTGGATGAGTGGTCTTAAAATGAAAGCTTTGTGGGGCTCTTTTGGAAATGGAGAGAGAGGTGCGGAGTCCCTAGACACACCAGTGGCTTACCGGTTAGGGCTCAAGACATGGGCTAATTGGGTTGACTCTACCGTTGACCCTAACAAGACCAGAGTCTTCTTCACCACCATGTCTCCTACTCATTCTAGGTAAACATCACTTAGCTCTGTGTTTATTTATGCATTTGCATTAAAAGAACATTTAACACAAGTGTGATTAACCCGAAGTGTTGTGTTATGTTAAAATGTTCAGGAGTGCAGATTGGGGGAAGCCAAACGGCACGAAGTGTTTCAACGAAACAAAGCCTATAAAAGATAAAAGGTTTTGGGGAACTGGCTCCAACAAACAGATGATGAAAGTTGTATCAAGCGTCGTGAAGCACATGACCACGCACGTGACTGTCATCAACATCACGCAACTCTCTGAGTACCGCATCGACGCACACACATCAGTCTACACCGAGACAGGTGGCAAGATCTTAACGGCTGAGCAGAGAGCTGATCCAATGCGGAACGCTGATTGTATACATTGGTGTCTACCTGGATTACCCGATACATGGAATCGGATCCTATTGGCTCATTTGTAAATAAAGCTAGGAAACTGAGGGTAAAACGGGAAAAACCCAAAGTCCTCTTTATCTCTCTTTCTCTTCTCTTCATCTCGTGTTGTTTTTCGAATGTGTATGTGATTGTGACATGACCAAGAAAAATGAAAAAGAAAGTCAGGCCGTTTTTGTGATCTATAAACGACATGCAGTCTAGCCCATCTACGTTGAAATAACAAAAACATTGGAAATAAAACAAGGCCTATGTGGGCCTGGCCCGTAATAATATGAGAAAGGGTAAAAAAGGAATTCCATTACTATGGATAATTAGGGTAATGTTAGACTGTTGTAATCTGCACCGTTGGATTTCATTATAGAAGTTTGTGACCGTCCGATCTTAAACCTAAGGGCCCAATAACGCAGCAACTCATCGCCGTCACGTAGAAGTTGTCGAGTTCTATATTAATGGACAAATCTGGAATATGTAAATTAGAGATTACGTTGTGTCTCGAAAATTCCCTTCTTCCCTCTGCAAATTTGCATAAGGTGAGACAGATTCCAACGAAATTTGCTCTCTTTCTTGATTCGACCATTTGATATAGCTCTGAGATTTAATCCGTTTTTTTGATTCATTGTTTTGTGAAATCTTTTATCGTCGAAATTTTAGGTCTAGATTCGAGTTTTTCTCTAATTTTGCTTATAGGGTTTTTGATTTGGGGATATTGGTTTGACGTTAGGGTTTCGTTGCATCTGATTGATAGGAAAGTGCGATTATGGCGGGAGGAGGAAATTTCTTTGGCAGAGTTTTCACATATCTTGCGAACGAGCTCATAGTTAATGGTTTGGCTAACAGGTACCCTCGTTCTCATTGTCTATTTTTAGTTGGATTCATGTTTTTGTTTTGTTTCGATTGATATTTGTGTATAAGCTTCTTTCTCTGGCTGAGTGGATTCTTATGTTCCTCATCGGCTCGTTCATATCGAAGCGAGATAAACTCAACTTACACGCTGGTCTGCTGCGTCAGATACCATATGCTGCAGCGTAGGAAGAATGATACATTTTGTTTTACTTTCTGAACAAAAAATTGGATTTATATGTTTTTGTTATCTGTTTTTGAGATCTCATTTTACTTTTGAAGTTCCTTAGGCTTTAGTTCTCGTTTAGGGTCTTGAGCTACATGTTTCTGCATCCTTGGGATTGCTCAAATCTTTCTCTGTTTTGAAAACATTATGTTCTGAGATTGTCCGCATGGGTTTTGAGACATTCAGGAACTATATATGTTGGATTTGTTTACATGGGTTTTGTTGGTTTTTGCCGGTGATGATTTTCGTAGGCTTGTCCTGATCAAAAACATGACGTTGATCCTGAATCTAAGAGTCTGAGGCTATTTATATGTTTTTTGATTTCAATCTTTGGTTTTCTCAGACACTCCCCTGAACTTAACTGTAAATGGTTGGTAATTTGGTTTCTGTTTTGGCAGTCATGCTTTCCAGAGATTTGCTGTGAGGACATCAAAGAGAATTGAAAACATATCAAAAATGGGTTTGTCTCTAACCTTTTAGATCAAGAATGTCTTTGATTATTTTCTTTCTCCTTTCTGTTGCACAATCTTATTTTACATTGGATTATGCTTCTCAGCCGCAGAGAACAAGGAGAAAGTCGCTCAGCATATGGAAGAAATCTCAAAGAACATGGACGTGAGTTTTTTTTGCATACAAATTTTCTTCAGTTTGGGTTTTTGAAGGACCTTGTTTATCAGTCTCTAAACAACTCTGTTTTTGTTTTTTTTTCTTTGCAGTCCTTCAAGAAACAGTGATTGATTCTCCTGAAGAGTAATGGGTGAAAGCTCAAACAGTGAGGTCTCTTTATTGTATAGACAATGTTGAAAAGTAACAAGTTTGTTGGTGACAATCAGTGATCTTTTGGGGCTTTTTCTCATCTTTAAAACCCAACTCGACCGTGACTTAAACCTTTATGTGCTTCTTGATCTTGTAGTGTAAAGCAGTCTTTGATTCTTTTTTGTTTTGGGCTGCTTTTATAATTAAATGAGTAAATATGGGTTCGATTTGAAAGTTATGTTACTAAACAATTAATTAGTTTAGTAATTTAACTTTTGCGTTATATTGATAACTTTTTTATTTTTGGTCGTCCTTGCATAACATTATCATGAAAAAACATTACATAGAGTACCATTTTCAATCAACTGAGTATTAATCAACTTGTTTTGGCCGATCGTCGTTGAATGTCTTGTAAGATGCTTCATGTTAATAATTTAAAAGCTTATTCCCAAGTATATTAAGCTAAAACAAATGTCGTATATTAAAAAGGTAAAGAAGCAAAGGAGAAATATTACTAAAAAGAAAAAAAAAAAATCAATATAATACCCCCAAGATGTGTATTGAGAAACTTCCGGTGGAATTACTATTGAGATTCAGAGCTGTGTCAAAACTATGGAGAAGGGAAATCGAATCCCCACGTTTCGAGGAGAGACAGCTGAGGCATCAGGAGAAATCTCGAGACCCGAGCATCTTGGTAGGCCATCCTGGGCTTGACAACGGCGGAAAAGCTACTCTTAGGACATTGAGTTTGGGTGCAACGTCAGTTTCGCTGGAGAACCATACTCATTACCCTGTCCATACAAAGAGCGAATTGTCGGCTCTGAAAATTACACGGAGTTGCGACGGTCTCACTTGCCTATACTCAAACACCTTCATGTGAGTGATCAATCCCGCAACTAGATGGTACCGTAAACTCCCCGAGGCGAGATTTCAAACACTTATTCAAGCCCTTGTTGCGGAAGATATCACGCAGATATATTCGCACCCTTTACTAGGATTCGGTAAAGACAATATCACAGGGATATACAAGATGGTTTGGTTTTATAGCTCTTATATGCTTTACAAAAAATCAGAACGGTAACAAACTAATACATGCGAAGTTTTCTCTTTTGATCTTCACACTGAAACTTTTGCGGTAATGGAGAAAATACCTGTTGGCTATGCACCCCAGGACCGGATCACTATGTGCACCTTGAATAACCGCCTTTGCTTATCTAAGGACAAGGGAGACATACAAACAATATGGTCGTTAAATCAAGACAACATGACATGGGACAAAACTTACTCCATAAATCTATGTTCAACTCTCTCTTGTATTGATGATGAATATCTTTTCTCAGTGCCGCCGATCGCAGCCCTTTTTGACAACCGGTTATTGATTTATGATTATCGATTAAAATCGTTTAAAATCGTTTGGTAATTTTTTTTTAGGGCTCGTTTTTGTTTGGGAGGTGCCATTTCTTATTCCCGAAGCTTGTTCACTCTTCCATTTCTTATTGTCTAGTAGTTTTAATTGATGTGTTGATAGCAAATCATAATTTGTCTATGTTTCATTAGACAATTGTGTCTTAATGTTAAAAGTTGGAGAAAATGGGTTCAGGACTTAGCAATATTAATACAGTTCAAATAACAAATTCTCTGTTTTGAAATGCATCGTGGAACATGGACTATGTCTTGAGAAACTGAGATTCTACTTCTTTCTTGATGTATTTTGTGGACTATACGTTGTCGGTTTTTCATTGCATATATTATATATAGTTTCTCTTCATGATTTTTGAATCTAAGAGTCTGAGGCTATTCTACATAAAAATATTGTAGCAAATCATATTTTGTCTATGTTTCATTAGTCAATTGTGTCCTAACGTTAAAAGTTGGAGAAAAATGGGTTAAAAGTATGTTTCTGATTTCAATCTTTGTGTTTTCTCAGATACTCCATTGAACACTACTTATGGATCTATAATTAAGTGTTGTAATTCTTTGATCGGGGTGCCAATTCCCACCGAAGATAATCAGTTTCGGGTCGTCCCGTTTCTCATGTAATGTATACATGGAAAGGTGTATTTGTCATTAGTGTAGGTCTAGTAATCCCTCTATATATTGTAATTCTCTCCTCTAATAATATTCATTCAGCCAATTATCTACATCTCATACAAGAGAATTGACGGTCGATATACGGATTAGAATATGTAAACGTGAAAATGAAATGCACATTGTTATTCATTAGGTCATTTTTTTGTCAAGATATCTTCCTTTAGTTGTATTTATTCAATCAAGTTTTTTTATGTATAAATTTGTGATGATTTTTCATCAAGAATTTGGATTAATTGTGTGTGGAGGGTTTGATTGATGATGGAGAAGCCCAAGAATTGCATATCCTATATATATAAATATGCATTGTAGATGCTTAATTAATGATGATTCAAAAGATATCCAACTATATATAGTATTAGGAAAGGATTGAATATCATAATGTTTCTTCGTTAATTGTAAAATGATGATTACATTATCCTTACAAGTGCGTGTATTTACAAAATCCCTTCTAACTAATTACTTCTCTATAGTTAGATACACACGCTATTTACCAAGTAATAAGTACAACATGAATTTATACTCTATTATCAACAAATCAACAATCATGAGTACGTAGTTGTTTGTTATATATGACCAAATTTTGCTATTATATTCTATCATTCGATATACACACGCATTTTCTCGTATATAGTAGAACTTGACTTTTCATAATTCCTTTACTATAAAATAAAACATCAAAACATGTCCCTTTTTGGCTTACCATATTTAATAAACAATATTTGGACTTTCACCCATGAATCTTTAGAATAAGAAAAACGATGTGGCATAGAAGTATATACAGTAGTAGGGAGATATTTGGGGGTTAATTAAAAAGCATGATCAATTGAAGAATATAGCCACAGTGGCCCCCAAAATAAAAAATTTGATTGATACTTTTCTCTATTGGGACATTTTGCTAACTAACCAAAAA